GCAATAGAGTCATAGGTATACAACGGAAGGTATATAAACGACATTTATAGGTACATACATCTTGTACTCGTATAGACATATAAATTCATGCGTGGTCGTGTGTATCTCGATCTTACGGAGCTGAATACTCATTGCAACACTTCCCATATTTCCGAACGTGTAATTATGATTGATATCATGCCGCCTTCATGCGCCAAACTGTTTTTATCTTTGAACACAGGTTGGGGAGTCGTATAATATTACAAAAATTATCTGAATTTAACAATTATTTGAATTTTATAATAATAAAACCTTCGTCCTTACTACGACTTGAAAACTTTATAGAAATTGTTTTTTTTTTATCCTAAGAACTTAAATGAATATACGATATTATATATATATCATATATGTATTATATATGGTTATATATATAAATAAAAGACTTAGAGCATTAAGATTCTTTGAACTCTGCCGGAAGTTGCGTGACGATTGGAAGGGATAACTGGACAGTAACATGGAGTGATGCTTCCGTTACAAGCATGATTTGCGTAATATTTCTTGACACGCGCGTAAGATCTGAACGTTGAAGATCAATGGGCAGTTTGAACGGTATCGCGTTCGAGTCAGTTACAAGTTGAGAATTATTATAAGAAAATAAGCCGTGCTATAAGCTGAGAATCAGCAATATAATACATGTATAATCGGCTTAAAATGATTAATGGAATTGTTTCGTTTCAGCAGAGACCGCGATCGACGCAAAATGACGGATACTTTCACGTGGAGGTCAATTTAACGCCATTCCAAGATGTACTCTGAGTGGCAAAAGGTGAGTTGGTATTTATCTTGCTATGTATCTTGAAAGATGGAACTCATTGTGAATTGTTTTTACATACTCCGATAGAAAAACGTTGACATTATATGACGAGATCTTGCGCAAAATTTGTGATTTGCATTTATATGGATATATTTACAAACATTAATGTGTAAAAATATAGATTTTTTGGTAAAATATTGACAATTGTTTGCATACACAGTTAATTACGAAATAATATATCAACAAAACAATAACGATATGATAAATCATCTTAACGGTATATTTAAAAAATTAAATTTTGAAAATAAATTGTTTGATAATTAAAAACATTGAATACCAAGCATTTCTAAAGTATACGATTATTTTATTAAGAAGAGACAAGAGTCTATGATCGGCGGAGGTATTGATAAGACCGAACGAAGGGACTGACGTAAAAGAAAAACGATCGTTTCTCGATCTCGCTAATCGTTCATTAAAGGCGTCGCGATTCCCACTCATAGACTCATAAACCGTAAAACAGTCATTTCTGGATTGTCACGGCATTGCACAATGTTTACGTGGTCACGACCGCGGTGGGATCTCTCTGCGTGGTCGGAGTCAATGATCTGCGCACACGCAATCGCATTGCTGCAGCAGCCACTTTCCAACGCCTCGTCCAGCGGTCTTTCGACGCTTAGTCAACGATCAATCCGCGCGCTGATCGTCTTCGATTTTTTTGCAGAATTGAAAAAATTCTCTAGCCTGAAAAATGAGTCTTTTTCTCTGCAAGGTTGCCGAGGGACTCGTAAGATCGTTAGAAGTGACGCATTTAAAAGAGACACGGGGTGTGTATCGACCGTTCGAACGTGTGCCTTTTTAAAATGTTTTAAATAAAAAAGAAAATCAGAGAAATCGACTTATTTAACGTAATGTAAATTGAGACGTTAATAAAATTATCGAATTATAAGCGATTGAAATTATGCGCTTTCACCGCGAGTGAGTTTTAATGATGCTTTTAATTTAACTGCATGTGAAATAAGACGTAATCTGCTCGATTACTTTTGAAAGCAGTATCTATTACAGCGACAATACTGAGGCGAATTAAAAAAATCTTGCTACGCGGACGCGTTCGGAATGCATCGCGAGCGAGCTGGTGCAATGGCGGCTTCTCACTTTTACTTCGCTTCCCGAGCATGCAATCGCGGATAATGACCGACGGAATAATTAAGGAAGCATTTCTTACGTCGAGGCGCGAGTGTATAGTAGAAGGGCATTAACGAAATTGAAACGGATATTAAATAATCGGCATTATCGAAAATGAAGACATAAAGCCGTAAAGGATTTAATGATCTGCGTCCGGATATTTTACCTTCTATCCGTTAATAAGAACAACTTTTGAACGAAGCGATCTGCAAATCCGTTTCTTCTGTGTTTTCTCCCTTCGATTTTAAGGGAACGAAATCGTTCGGACGAGTTACGTGATACCAGGAAATCCGTTTAACGTCGATAAATCGATTCAACGAAAAAGAACAAGTAATAATCGTGTCCCATCTTGCGGTTGCGTTCGTCGCGCTCCGTAATCGACAATTTCTATCGCTCTTCTGCAACTCGCCACGGCCACTAGGCAGAATAGCTTCCCTTCGCGCGTTCCTGCGCCTCCCGTATTGCCACCTGCAGTATGTAATACTCGCGCGCACGTGCATGTATGCGGCTGCGCGCGCGCGTATTTAGCGCGTAATTTATATAAGAAGAGAGGCACGCTTGGTTCCACCCCAAAGCGCTTCGATCCACTGGCGCCGGTAGCTTATGATTTCATCGCGCTTAAATCGCAGCTAGACGCGGAGCTCGAAAACTCCGCATGTAGAAAACTCCCGTCGAGAGCTATCGATAGGTGGGACTACGCGTCGAGAGGAACTCCGAGAATGCGGGGAAAGTGCGAATCCGGCGGCACGATTGGAGCGGACGCGTCCGATCGGGGTATATGGGCCGCTTTCTGGCACGGCCTAATTAACGTGCCTCAATTAAAATTGCACATACGCCACTGCGTACCCGAGGCAATTGTTGCAGAGAGGGAAGGAAGACCAGCAACTTCCACAGTGCCGCGTCGAACATCCTAGCGTCCGCATCGAGCGATCATCTTCGGCCTCGTGCGGGAAAGGCAGACTTTTCCCACCGAGGAACCTCTCCTTTCACCAAAAAAAAAAAAAGAGTCGATTTCGCGGGTCGCCGGATAATCCGCAGCGGAGAGGACAGTTAGCGACGCGACCGAAAGATGACATTGCCGCGGGCACCGTTAATGAATTCCGCGTGTGTGCAGCATGGACTTTTGCCGACTGACCCAATGAGCCCGATAGACGTTTGCTTGGCCTCCTAACTTCTTTAAGCCGAATTTAACATGCGCGCGACAATACGGACCCCGTCGAACTTAGGCCGCGGCCATCGATCGTGACAGGACTTATATATGAGACTCGGTCAGCGCGCGACTGCCGCGTAAATAAAACCGAAATGCGCGGGGAAAAGCCGGCGATGGAGGAAAGGCGGAAAACGGAACATGGAAATACGCGTCGGATGGAGGCTAACGCTGAAGAATGTGAAGTCTCGGCGGACGATAGTTTATTCTGAGACAATCTCTCGGTCGCGGGTTTCAATTGGAAACGGGAAAACTTTATGCGCGAGCGACGTCGTTTTATTGGTCACAAGTACGACTCCTGCAGCCGAATGAAGCAATTTTCTCGATGTGGCTAGACACACTGATCTATATAACTGAGAACTTATTTGAGCGATGTTGTTTTTTACTTCGTTTTTTTTTTTTAATTTCGTGCGATAAACAGTGTTAAAATTGTGCACGAGTAATTAAATTTTGCAAATAACAGAAGGAAGAGATAATGAATATTAAATATAATAAATGATAAAATATAAACAATGAACACTTGAATTAATGAGCCCATGTTTGGTTGAATAAATGAATAGATAATAATCAATAAATATTAAATATAAAAATCGTAAAACGCAGTTGGTATTTGACTCAACAGAGTGATTCGCGAGTGGTTCGCGTGGTGCTTTAAACATTCTCTGAACCAACCATCACGTCACGTCAATTTTAAGCGGGAGTCAATTTTACATCGAACCTCCTGACAGTCCTGACGATCCCGCGAGTGAAAGACGTGTGTCGCGTGTGTTGATATACCTTGGTGCGCATCCGAGAATTGCGTAGCGGGCATTGACTTGAAACGCCACACGCGTTCATCATCCACGGCGAGGTTGTTATTTAAATTGAGCGAATTTGAAAGAAAGAAAGAGATATGCAATCGAAACTCGACGTTACTATATAACGGGGGAAAAACGCAATCGTACTGCACGCAATGTTTTTAAAAAAAAATTAGGGAAGAAGAAAAAGTAAGACATTCGTATACGTAATCGTGCATCGTGACCTGTGAGAATCACTGGAACGTCGAGGATAAACACACCCTCCCGTTCTCGTTAAAGATTCATATACGTAAATATTTTCGAAGACTGCATTCGATAAAAATGGAGATTCCGCTTAATTTCTGTGATCGCGTGGGAACCGATACTTCGTGATGAACACTGAACGAGATATTGTGCATCTGTAATCACGCGATTGCGTTTTGGCGCGTTGCGTGTCACGTCATTTGTGTATACGTCATTTATACAATTATAAACGGATGAAAAATATATATCACTTTTATGAGAAAACTCGATTACAGGGGACATCATTCACGGTTTTGCGAACGGAGATTCTCCGCGAATGCATGAGTTATATTTGACATAATTCTTTCGTGTTTTAAATATGTCCATTAATGTTATGTAATAATATTAAATCGCTTCACAAATTAATTTGTGACAATCCAACTTCAGTTTAGGATGTATTTCAAGATCGATAAAATAATCGGCACATAGTTTGCTTGAACTGGAATTCACACGAAACATCAAGTAGCAGGATCCACCTTTGAACCGGATATATATGACCCTCTTGGCTTATTTGTTTTAATTATATTTGACTTTTGTTACTAACGCATTTGAAATAACTATATGAATGAGTGTTTAAAATTAGTAGAAAGTTGGTAAAATATAACAGAGGAACCGAGTTGACGATATAGACGATGACGTGATCCGCGACGATAGAAGCTTCGGGTGAGAAAGACAAAAAGTAGCGTGTGATCAGTTCGCACATGAAGTGCGCGACCGATCGCCGACATTCCCGGCAGCGATGGCCAACATGGACCCGTCGGGACCAAGCACGAAGCAGCAGCAGCAACGGAGACGCTGGTCCGTGGGTCGATCGTCGACCCCGCGGAGTCACTTTTCGCTACACTCCTCGGAAGCTTTCTACGCGAGCGCGGAACCGTTATCCGGTGGCCGCGGCGGACGCGCATTGCATAATGCGAGCGCCGGCGGCCCAGACCCAGATTCGAATTCCGTCCTGGATTCCTACGCGCCGGAAGCGGGTAGGCATCAATACCGGGCTTCCGCTCGGCGGCCGTCCCGGGACTCGAGTGACCGACGTGCAATCGTCACGAAGAATGACCGCGAGATCTTTTACACAGTGCCGCGCGGTCCGGCGATCTCCAGGAAGGAGATCCTACGGCGCCGATGTGTCAGAGACGACGTCGAGACGGTCCATCCTACGGCGGAGAGGGGTCAGGTGGAGAAAAGACCGACTACGTTACCGTCGACCGGTAGGAGAACTCGTCAAGACACCGAATGCACTTCCTCGCTCTTAAAAAGAGTCTCCCGGCAGGACATTCTACAACGTCGTGCGAGCATAGAGACGAACTCGCAGGTGAAGGATGTCGCGAGAACGTCTTCAAGTATCCCAAGTTCCGTTCGCTCGGCTAAAGAGGATCGTGACTTCTCGCGGCCGTCGACTCTGCCGAAGATTTTACACGCCTCGAAGACGTCTCGGCTAGAGGAGTACTCCTCCTCGAGAACGAGGGAGACCGCCGGAAGGGAAGCGCCGGTTTATGGGAGAATTCGGCGACGAAAAATGTCGCTACCGACTGGCGCCACGACGTTGCGCGACTCTACAACTCCTTCAAATACTCTGACGAGGTTCTCGAAGACGAGAGCGAGCGGAGAACGCGCCGATACTTCGACGTTGCGTGACTCTACGACTCCTTCAAGTACTTTGACGAGGTTCTCCAGAACGAGAGCGAGCGGAGAACGCGCGGACACCTTAACGTTGCGCGACTCTACAACTCCTTCGAATACCCTGACGAGGTTCTCCAGGACGAGGACGAGCGGAGAACACGTGAGCACTTCGACGAAAGTCGTCAAGCACTTGCGAGATCCTGTTCCCGACCCGGCCGATTGGCCCAAATGTGCGGACGTCAGTCGTGATAATATTTATGTCAAGGTCACGCGCAGAGCGTCCAGGCAAACTTCTCATGAAGAAAGACCAGAGCCGATGGATAGAACGATGTCTAGACGCAGAATAATCAACAACGCGGACAGTGTGGATTCCTTGGAGCGAAGGATGCACCAAGATCGAGATCAGGACGTGGTCAGAGTTAAACACGACGCCATATTGATTTCCAAAGCAGACATCGAGCAACTGCGTAATTTTAAAACGGAGAGAAACGAGGACGTAAAGACGTCTTATCGCGCAGATTCCACATGGTCTGCGCGAAGAGATTCAAAAACAGATTCTTGGTCTCGAAATCATCCTAGAGATTCCACGTGGACCAGCGAGAGACAAACGAGGTGCCGACCAAAGTCGCAAACCGAGTTGCTCGCGAAAGAGCGGACGGAATGTCCGAAAACGGGGATAAAATCAACGACGTTACCTAGCTACATGAAGATTGGGCGGAAAACGTCGACGGGAAATCCGCCGGTGCGAAATGTGGACGACCAGAGGAGAACCTCGATCAGCGGAGTGTTAACGAAACAGAGCAAAGAGAGATCGAATTATGTGAAGAAGACAGCGACGCGTATCCCGACGCACATCAGAACGTTCAGCGACGCGAACAGCGCTCGCTCTATTTCTCCGGACGCATCATCATCGATATTTGGTTTCTGCACCGGAAAGAGGAGGCTGCAGGCGTCCGTGACGCGTAGATCTCCGTCATGGAACTTGAAAACGGTTCGGGATTATTTTTATGATCCGAGAAAATATTATGATCCAATGAAGTCTTAAAATTTCAAAAGATATTCATATCGTTGAAAAATTTGTATTAAAAGTTTAACATGTCCCAACAGTTCATCCAAAAGTTTTGTGTTAATTTAATATAAGATGAATATATTAGGAAGTAACACAAAACAATTTAACATTTTAAAAATTTTTAAATAAATTGTGAAAACATATTTCTTCAATGAAATTAATATTTGTAATATGTTAAATTACACTGTGTTGGAAAAAATATAATGAATTTATCATAAATCGCATGTCTCAAATGATGCATTCAAATGAATTTAACATAAGATAAAGATGTTAGAAAGTTTATAAATATTATGTAAGAGAATAAATACAAAAAAAGATAATATCGACACAGTTTGTAAACAAATCGTGGAAGCATATTTTTTTTATAGCAAAATTAACATTTATGATATATTAAATTAACCTATATATTATTCATTTATCTCAGAATTTACATTTTAAAACATTTTATTTTTATGTTATTTATTTATTTACTCGTAAATTGTGTCATTTTGACACTAAGAAATGTTGAATATCAATTTAATACAAAATGTTTAAATAATTACATTCTGTTTAAATTAATACTTGAATATGTTAGAAATTCAGTACAAATCGTTAACAAGAACGTGAGTGAATCATTTTCAACACAAATACATAAAGGTTTACCTCTCACTCTAAAGGTGTAAAAGTGTATACATTTTTTTTAAGTATAAATCAACATTTATGATATGTTATGATATTTATGATATGTTAAATTAACACACGAATATGTAAAAAAATTCACCATAAGAATGTGATTGGGCTGTTTTTAATATAAATACACAATGTGTTTTTACCGTGTATATTATTTTTGTTATTCAGTTAGTCTTTGTGTTATATACTATAAATGCTAAATATCAATTTAACACTAAATATTTAAACAATATAATCACATGTTAAATTAACGCTATGTTAAAAATTCAATATAAAAATTTTAAGAACAATTTTTAACGCAAGTGTAAAACGTTTTTTACTGCGTGCTTTGTTCCCGCGACAATATGTGAAAAAATGTACATATTAATATAATATAAATACAAGTATTTCAAATGATTAGCGAAAAAATTAAAATTAATTTATTTTCTGAGATTGACGGGATATTATTTTAATTAAATAAAACGGTGTGTGCGCACACATACTACAACCAGTTTCTATAAAAATTGAAATTCTGAAAGTTGAACACACTTAAGAGAGACATATAGGTGTAAAAAAAGACATTTCTAATATTTATGTTTAATTACACTTTTTATTTTAAATAAAGTGTCTAAATTCGTCCCCATTAGACACTGAAATATAATCAAGAGCATCTGTTATTAAATCACTTATTTACAATATGTGCAGGGTGAATTGGTGTGGTTCGACCCTGGTGTCGGCCATGTGCTGCCAGGCGAGGTTCTGGAATACCATAGAGCCGCTAATGTACTTTCGGTCCAAGCGGTGATCGCCGGCAAGGTAAGATAAGTTCGTTTAGAAAGCGCCTGCATATTAACCGTGCATAATTACGAATGGTAGATGTGAAAGAACTCAATAACTAATTGTGTAAGAAAAGATAGTCCAGACATGCTCCTTTGATTGGTAAACAGGCCTTTCTATAATATACATATATCGACAATACAGCTATCTCACAACCTCTAGGCAATCAATCACTTTACATTTTCTGAAAATGACATTGGGATTAATTCGCGTATGATTCACATAGCTTCGCTATAAAATGTTGACCTGAATATTACATTTTTTATTTTAAATTTATTTATATATTTCATTTTTCAAAAAGTATTTAAATGTCTTTAAAGTTGATTTTTCTGTTTAGTTGTTAACATTTAAAAATATGGTGTCCAATTAACTCACATATTTTCGACAAAATCTAAAAAAATTTGAAAAGGATATCTAAATGTAGGCTGCTTTCTTTTTAGGGGACACAGTTGAGTACACAAATATCATTCTATTTTTATTATTATTAGCATTCAATGAATAACTAAAATAGAATAATACTTATGTCGATTGCCTTTTAAAAAAGAAAGAGCATATTTAAAGTTAATGTATTCAATTTTATTTTAGTTTAATATACGTTTAATTTAAAAAAAAAATCATTAAACGTATTTAATTTTACTATTCGATACTGATACTGATATTCAAAATTATAATGATTTAATTCTTGTTCTTCGTTCCCGTGTCTTCGTCAAAATGTTCATCTAAATTGCTTTTTTTATTTTTACTTGTATATTTAATTTTTCGAAAAATTATCTATAAATATGTTTAAAGTCGATTTTGTATCGTTTGATCATTAATATTTAGAAATATAACGATTCAACTATTGACTCTCAGAATATTGAAGACAACTTGCGTTTCAACTTGGCTCGGCTGTCAAGCGTTTAAGGCAATCCAAACACCATCGGGCAGGAATGGAGCAAGTGTATACGGTATCCAAGTGATCCGCTCGTCGGTTCTTGACTTTCTAATGCGGCCCTCGTGCGTTTGAATTCGTTTCATTAGACGAGAACGAGAGGGGCAACTCTCACATCGAGCGTCCGCGTCAATCTGGTTTCCACGTTTTTCATTCACTTTTTCGTCCTTCGCGCGCGTGTGATTTTCAAGTTCGTGCTTCCGCGCGGGCCGTGAATCCGTGCATCGCCGGTCATCGATCTCCCGGTGACGTGGGTGACGCTAGAATTTTGAAAGGAGCTACCCGTCGGTAAAGCGAAATGACTGCCGGATGATTATTCGCACGCGTCGTAATCTCCATTAACGCGAGGCAGCCGCCTCGTTCTACAACCGACACCTATCGTAGACCATTTAACAACGCGCCGTTTTTCCTGTCCGCCCGCTTTGTGTTCTTCACATTGCATTGTCGCGCACTAGTTGCAGCACTGCACTTCACCAGTGTCCCATTATAGATAACGACGGACATTGGCGTAAGGTGCATTAATCACTTTCGAAAAGGAATATCTTAGAGCGCGCGCGCATAGATTATCAAGTTTAATATGATATTTTATAATTAAATTTGATTTTACATATTTTTTTTAAATGAAGAATGGAAATTTACATTTTGTAACAATAGAAACATTAGTTCGTTCGATAAAAATTATAAAATTTGAGAGAAAAATTTTCATTGTCTCAATTTACTATTACCCGACATCAAAGTATCTAAAACTTTAAAATGTATAATAATGTAATTTAAGTATATAATTGTTCTAGTTTATCAAGATTATTTTTCGCAAATAGAGACGCCAGAAAAATTTTGTAAATTACACGTACTTTTAATTTTTTGAAATCTATTGGTAATTTCATTAATTTACCGGAAGTAACAACTTACTGACGCCAATGGAAGTGCAACTGCAGACGCAGACGGTATCCGGTTAAGTCTCACGTGAGTGGCTCTCACGCTTCTTATGTGAATTTGCACGAATCTTCTTTTTTTTTTCTCTCGAACATTCTCCGTAGAAGCCGCGCGTATCGAGAAGATATGGCAGGAACAATCGTAAAGTGCGTTTTAGCTGGAAAGTCACGTTTTTAGACGGTTCTCCATGTCTCTTGTGCGTCGTTAGAAATTGGAAAGAAAGTGTCATCGAGTGTAATCGCGGAACTCGAGTCGTCATAAAAATTATACAAATACATGTTGTCGAGCCGCCGCGACCATTCTAGATCTTCATGTGGAAAAACGACGAGTAATTGCATACAATTATGTGTTTAAGCCGCAAATCTTCACTCTCACCAACTTGAGCGGAGTGAAGCCCAGGCAGGACTTAGGTCAAAATGGTGTGGAGGACATGATTCAGTTGACGTAAGTCACGAAATTATCATGTGTCTACTCTACGTAATTAACGCACCGACGTGAGACAAATTGAATGAATTGCAGGGATCTGAACGAGGCATCACTATTATGGAACTTGAAGATCCGTTACGACAAGGAATTAATTTACGTACGTTGCGTTTGCGTTGACTTAATTCATTCCTAGCGTTAACGATTGACTCTAATAATTGTTTACGATGGATTTTTAGACCTACACGGGAAGTATCCTCGTGGCGGTAAATCCATACAAAATGTTCGATATCTATGGACTAGATCAAGTGAAGCTTTACGAGGGACGAATTCTTGGTACACTCCCACCGTTAGTATTAATTCCATTATCTATTTTTTATGAAAAATAATTTAAAATAAAATTATTTAAAAAGTATATTGAGTATATTATAATATACAATGCAAGAAAATAATATATTTATTTTCAACATGCATTCTTTCTTTTATTCTCTACAGTTGTTACAATATTTTACTTATAGTTACTTGAGTAAAAAAAAGAATAGAACATATTCGATTATTCCTTTAATCAATTTTTAACTTTTTATGTTATCATTATATATTAAGAGAAGTGTTCAATATTTACGACTATACGAGTAATTGTATGACAACATAATTGTTACTCCATTTTTATACAGTTGTTACTGCCACATATCTTTTGCAGGCATTTATTCGCCGTGGGTTCCTCCGCATACAGTCAAGTGACTGCAGCCAATAACTCCAGTGCCAATCAAGTGGTCGTCATTTCCGGTGAATCTGGCTCGGGAAAGACGGAGTCTACGAAGTTGGTGATGCAATATCTCGCGGCCGTTAATCGCGCGCCGAACAATCTCGTCACCGAGCAAATTCTGGAAGCGACGCCACTCTTAGAGAGCTTCGGAAATGCCAAAACACCGCGAAACGACAATAGCAGTCGATTCGGGAAATACTTGGAGGTTTACTTCAGGGAGTGAGTAATATAAAAAAAAAAAAATAATTATAGAAGACAATAAATTATAAATATTTGTCGATTCTGTTGGTGCCCCATCACGCAAACAATTTTTCTATTTCTTAGCGGCGCGATCGTAGGCGGTAGAATAACGCAATATCTTCTAGAAAAGAGTAGGATAGTAACACAGGCTTCGGAGGAGAGGAACTACCACGTGTTCTATGAACTTCTAGCTGGACTCGATCAGCAACTCAGGGATAAATATGGCCTGCTTACACCGGACAAGTATTTTTATTTAAATCAGGTATGTGTGTTTATACGAACGTGCAACAAAAAATCTGTGTATCTCAGCTTCAGCTTGGATATGAAGAGGAGATATTTTATACGTTTTTTAAATTCTACGTGTAATTTTTTAGAAGTTACATAAATTGTTGAATTTTTTTGAATTTTTGTATAATTTTATAACTTTTTAGAAAAGGATTCCGCATTAATTGTATGGAAAATTTGTATTCCGATGAAATGAGTTAATTTTACATATAATATAGTTATTTACTTATAATGTGGTGAACAAATAACGTTATTAATGTATTTTGAATTATAATGTATCACATACTTGTACGCACACACAGATGCTTTGTGAGTGTATGTATTACACATTTAATACACCATAGCTCAAAATTTATTCATTATTGATCCTTATATTTATGTGATCTTTTGTTCACCAAATTTTATCAAATTATAATTATTATTTTGAAAACTAATCTATTTTACTAGGATCCAATTTTTCATATATAATTAAGTAGGGATCTTTTCTGAAACTTTATAGAAATTGAAATATTTTTTAGAAATGCTTAGAAAGCTACATTTCTATAATTTTTTTGTACATATAATGTGAATTCTGAAATATTCTAAGATTTCCTATTTTATATTTTCAAAGAAAATCGATATCTAATAAAAGAATAAGTTTTTAATGAACTTTTCAGAAATCTTCATAAATTAAAAAATCTTAAAAATATTATGGGATGTTATATGAACTTTTTTTCACCAGAAAGTCTATAATATTGTAAAATGATTGATAATAAAATTTTTTTGCATTTGTTTCAGGGTGGAAACTGCGAGATCGATGGCAAGAGCGATGTGCAGGATTTCAAGGCGCTCTTGTCGGCCATGCAGGTTCTCGGCTTCTCGTCCGATGAGCAGGATACAATTTTCAAGATTCTATCCAGCGTGTTGCATCTAGGAAACGTATACTTTCACCGGAAACAAATGAGGCACGGCCAGGAAGGCGTGGAAGTCGGTTCCGACGCTGAAATACGCTGGGCGGCGCACCTTCTTCAAGTGAATTCCGATGGCATCATCCGAGCACTCACTACCAAGACGACAGTAAGTTTTCACTTTGATACATCTCGCATTTTGATCCAATCGATATCGAAGAAACGCCATGAAAACGTTTGAGAGGAAGTTTACGTTGTTCCTTTTAAAATTATGTCTTCGCATAAACTTATTTGAGACATTCTTATTGTTTTGACTACCATTGAATTAACAAGACATAAATTCGTTTATTTATTATCGTAGGAAGCGAGGAACGAGAGAGTCTTCACTGCTTTAAATATTGATCAAGCCCTCGATGCCAGAGATGCTTTTGCGAAAGCTCTGTATAGTTCGCTCTTTTCGTGGCTAGTCGCGCGCGTCAATCACATCGTTTACAAAGGTACAAAGCAAACGGCCGCTATTTCGATCCTCGACATCTTCGGCTTCGAAAATTTCACCGAGAACAGTTTCGAGCAGTTATGTATTAATTATGCAAACGAGAACCTGCAGTTCTATTTTAACAAGCACATTTTCAAGCTCGAACAACAGGAGTACGCGAAGGAGAAGATCGACTGGACTACTATCAACTACACGGTGAGATTCATTTTGGGCAATATAATTATCTAAGTAGTCAATTCTGAAGAGATAGATTTCAAACAGAATATGCTTTAGCAAACATTGGAACGCGTATGGAAATATGATCGATGGTGGATGTATTGAAATAGATTTCAATTCGCGTATGTTTTTAAAAATAGTTTTATTTAACGCTGAGAGATTATACATCTGTATTATTATTTATCCGTTTCTTATAGTTAAAAAAAAAAACCGCTTTCTTTAAATTGCTGGAAAAAAAACCGGAAAAATTGTTTTTTTTTAAATTGTTATTTTGCTATTTAAATGACATACTATTTCATTTTTAGTGTTCTTCATCAAATTAATGTGATTCAGAAAATTATATAATCATATTTTGAAACTTGTGCTTTAACTTGATTGCTACAATTAACTCTACACCCGCGAAAGATTCGTACGTGCTTGAGACGTCTATTACGTATTCGTATTACAAAGATGTTTATTACATTAATGAGGTCATGTAACATAATTTGTTGATGTGTCAATCAAGAGAATTTTGAAACATTCCTAACAGTATTCACAACATCTACATTGTAGAAACAGGCATTTAATCAAAATGTAACAATCGAATCTCCGATTTTATACGCTCTCAAAATTCGAGGTTCTCCTCTCTATTCGACATGGTTCAACATCTTTCTTAACAAACAAAATATTGTCTCCACGAATCATAGTTATCATGTTTATTTTGCAATTTTAAATAGTATTGTTTGAAAAGTTTAGAGAAAGCATAATGATTAAATATCAAGATTAAGTATCATAAAATATAATTGGAATTTTATTACAGAGTTATTTTTATTTTGCTTTCAATAAACGACACGATATAAAGAAAAGTTATAAAGAAAATAAAGTATCAAAAGAAATTAGAGATAAGAATGCAATTTAAGGAGCCTATATATATGTATGTATCTAGTATTGCCATCAATGCCATCAAATGAGAATTCAGTTGTTGCAATTCTAATACATATTTATATAGCAAGCAACGTGACAGCAACAAAACTACTATTTTGTTGCTATTTTGGATAGAAAAAAGTAGTTTTTGACCGATTTATTTACTGCTTATCGTCTTACTGCCTTAGTTATGTCTTTCTATGTATTTCTGGCTTTTCGATTTTTGATGCTTTAGAAGTAGTATTTATTTCTTTCATACTTCACAGAGACTTGTTAGTCGTCAGGAGACACGCGTTAAGACATGGCGCGAAACACTGCCTGTGCTCCTTTACGCGAAATCGTAAATATTTACGAATAATCGTATGTCTTATGATATATATATATATTATATATATATATATATGCATAAAATTGAAATACTAGTCATAAGTTAAGGTGCGTATAGACTATCGAGCCGAAACGCGAGCCAAACCGATCGAGCCGAGCCGTGCCTCGAGCTGACAAATTTCTAACCGAAATTATCGAGCTGGACTTCGGAGTCGAAATCAAGTCGAGCTTTAACCAAATTTTTACAAGCATCGCAAGCGATGGCAAGCGATCCGTATTATTTTTTTTTTCTTCGATAATTTCGGTTCGGAACTCATCGCTCGAGGCACGGCTCGGCTCGGCTCGAGGTTCGGCTCGCGTTTCGGCTCGATAGAATTGACCATAAGACCAAACTGCTATAGCATTTTATTATCTGGGTATTTTGTAACGTGAAATTTTCGCAAAATATGTCAGCATAAGCTCATAAATCTTGAAAATAATAATTTGATTGTCTGTCTGTCTGCCTCAGGATAATTTGCCGGTCATCCATTTGATTGCGAAAAAGCCTGTAGGCATTCTTCACTTGCTGGATGATGAAAGCAATTTCCCTAAAGCGACGGATCTTTCTTTCTTGGAGAAATGCCATTACAATCACGCGCTAAGCGAGCTGTATTCCAGGCCAAGAATGAGCTCCGCCGAATTCGCGATCAGGCATTATGCTGGACAGGTCTGGTACAACGTAGAGGGCTTTTTAGATAAGAACAGGGATACCTTGAGACCTGATGTAGTCGAATTGCTGATTAGCAGTAAAATTTCGGTAAGTCTTTATTTTGTTTATGCTGAATTCTTATAATAATATACTTATAATAATCGTGATGATTTTAGATGGTCAGCAAGATGTTCCAACATGTCAGAAATACTCATGAAGCTAATAAAACTATGAATAAGCCGAATGGCAGATTTGTCACCATGAAACCGAGAACTCCGACTGTTTCGGCTCGATTTCACGATAGCCTCCAGCAACTCTTAGAATCTATGTCTCAGTAAGCATTCAAATGATAAATTTTCTATGCGATATTAAAAATTGGCGGACGCTGCAAATTATGAAAAATCACTTTTAAATTAATTTGATAGAGCTTAGAAGATTTTGATAATATTCAAGAAAATCTAAGATATGTGTCTATAAAGCATCTTAACATTTTTATTGATTTCTTGAATTCTTTAATAATTACTACTGTTACACGATATTTTTTTAAATAGTTATTTCTTTTCCAATGCATTTGCAGATGCAATCCGTGGTTTGTCCGTTGTATTAAGCCAAACACTGAGAAAGCTCCAATGAAGTTTGATATGCCCTGCGTGCTTGAACAATTAAGATATACAGGCATGTTGGAGACGATCCGGATTAGGAAAACTGGCTATCCGGTTCGCCTTCTGTTCGGACACTTTGTGGATCGGTATCGTTATCTTGTTTCAACGCATTTACCCAGGGGAGCGCCTAATAAAGAGCTCTGCAGAATCATTTTAGACAAAGCGGCTCCGAAAGAGGCACAATCACAGTATCAGCTTGGACTTACACGAGTATTTTTACGCGAATCACTGGAGAGAGCTTTGGAATATAATAGAGCGTTGATTTTGGAGAGAGCAGCCATCACAGTCCAAAGGCATGTATCAAATTATGCAAAGGAAAAGATACAGAAGGATATTTATTACCTTATTATATTAATTATACATGTATATAATATATATGTATATAGGGTGAGTCGTAAGTGTATTCTAAAATTTCATGACTGTTCCTAAATAAAAGAAATAATATTCATCGTGCAATGTTTTTACAAAATTTGTTTGTTGAGGTTGCTAAATGAAATTATTATAGCATTGATGTTATATGTTACTTTTAATCGATGCTCGATGGATTACGATTAAATATCTTACAAAAATCTATCTTTAAATATCTCACAGAAATTCATCTTTTTCATTTTCATTTGCCTAAATCTGCTTCTTGAATAGCAAAATTAATGTGAATACATGTGTGAATCTTTCCCGGAGACGTTGCTTTATCAGTTTCTCTTGCAGATATACAAGAGGATTCTTGACTCGCAGAAGATTCCTCAATATTTCTCGAAGCACAGTTCTGATACAAGCAGTATACCGTGGTTATCGTGAACGTAAACAGTTCCGTGCATTAAAGAAGGGTGTCCTAATGGCGCAGAAATTGTATAGAGGTAGGAAACAACGAGAGACATTCAAAATATTGAAAGAGGAGATGGCGAAAAGAGCGGAAATCGAGAGAGCCAGTAAAGAGCGAGCGAAGGCGAAGCAACAACGAGAGGAACAAGAGAGAACCTCGCGAGCCGTTGCTGGTGTAAATCACTTAGAGATTCCCGCAGAACTAGCCTTTATTTACAGCAAGCTTGATGGTGCGTTTTTATCAAAATAAATATTAAAACATCATAAAACTTATTCAAATACAAATATAAGAAGGGCAAAGAGCCAAGTAAATCTATCGAACAATATTCAATTATTTAAAATTTAATAAAACGCTTTAATAGATCTTTAAAAATTACAAATTGACAGACGTTTCGACTCCGATCGGGTCAATGTTACAAATTAGAATTAAAATGGATAATTTAGAGTAATAACCTTTGTTATAAAGTGACAAATAATTATTATTCGTAAATCTTTTTAGATGTGGTGGTACAATATTATATTTGAGATAATAATTTAAGAATCTAATTCGTATTCTTATGTTTACATTTAATTTTACTAAATTACATAATTCTTTTAAATATTGACAAATTTCATGATCAAACTGATTTCTAATATGAGAAAATGTAAAGTTAAATCGTGTATAATTATAACTATTACGCATGTTTTCGCCCGCGTGAATAAAATAAATAATGAAAAGAATTAGATTCTTAAATTATTGTCTCAAATATAATATTGTACCACCACATCTAAAAAGATTTACGAATAATAATTATTTGTCACTTTATAACAAAGGTTATTACTCTAAATTATCCATTTTAATTCTAATTTGTAACATTGACCCGATCGGAGTCGAAACGTCTGTCAATTTGTAATTTTTAAAGCTCTATTAAAGCGTTTTATTAAATTTTAAATAATTGAATATTGTTCGATAGATTTACTTGGCTCTTTGCCCTTCTTATATTTGTATTGTTTTATTCATATAGAGTCTTTTCATTATTAACTTATTCAAATGTTCGAATGTGTCTTTTCCACAAACTGTTCTTTGAATTTTTAAATATTTTTTTGTAATTTTTAGACTGGCAACCCACACACACCGAACGAAACCTTCTCAAGGTCGTTGGCCAAGTCATCCCGATAAACTATACGTACAGTCTGCCGTCCGACATCGATCAGTATCAATTCTCGAAGTTTACTAATATTTATTTCAAGAGTCACATCTTTGGAATGAAACGCGAGCCGATCAAGACACCGTTCTTAGCAAAGGCTCGCGATCAAGATTACACGGATTCCTTGATGATCTTTAAGATGATATTGCGTTTCATGAATGAGAGTAATCTTAATGGCAAACGCGAGCAAGCATTGGGTGATTACATTGTTAACAAGGGTATCGTAAACGAGAAATTGAGGGATGAAATACTGTGCCAGTTGGCAAATCAAACCTGGAAGAATGAGAACGACGCCAACAAGGAAAGGGGATGGTTGCTGCTGTCCAATTGCTTATCAACATTCCAACCCAGTGCCACGCTTTTTAAGTATTTTCTGAAGTAAGTATCTTTGTTTCCGAACGACAACTCGTTATTTATCTCTGATTAATTATCTTTAATTTGTTAATCAGATATGTCTCCGACCATGCCTATGATGGCTACAAGGCTTATTGCCAACGTAAATTGTTGCAAGGCGAGAGAACGATATATCGTATGATGATTAATAATCAACAAACGGTGCATCAGGTACCTAGGAATTATCCACCGTGTGTCCTAGAATGGCGCGCCAACAGGAATCGCGTAAATATGGCGCTCAGCGTTGGCTTCTACGACGGTAAATTGCATTCTCGAATTCGTAAGAATAACTCTATAAAAAATAGCCAAATCTGTAAAAACAGAACTTTGTCAGTAGATTGGCAGCAGAAACAAAGCAAAAGATTTACAGATCCTGCTCAGTTTCTGCCATCAATCTACTAGCATAGCAGATTGAACAGGTCATGAGATTAATGTTTTATTATTTCTATATAGCTCTGCAGTGAAAATTTGATCAAATTTGTTACTAATCTATCAGCAGTCTGCTAGCATTTTGCTATCTAGAAAAATGTGTTGTCATGAAAATTTTATTCGCAACTGGTAATTTTTCGTTTTACAGGTGAGACAACTACATGCGCAATAGATTCCTGGACGACATGCGAAGAATTGGCTAATCTCGCGGTTCGGAATCACGGAGTAGAGAATATGGGCTGGACTATTACGCTCTGGAATCAACTGGACGGCCCAGACGCTATTGTGACGGAGACCAACGGCTTCGATTATGTTCTGGATCTAATCTCGGAGATGGAATTGGCACCAGCTTTTCCCGCTGCCAAGCATATGTTCTTAGAACAGCGCAAGAATAGTCTGCCTCCTATAAAAAAACGAGAGGTAAGAGAAATTCAGCGTTGACTTTAATAGAGGAATCTTAAATAAAAATAAACTGTAGAAAAATGCAATAAAAACATTGTTGTTAAATTGTTAAGTTTTGGTTTAAAATAATATCCTTTTTCAGCACACCCAAGTTATTCGGGAGTTGGAAAAAGAGATGGAAATTCCTATTCTAAAAACCTTCCAGCCTTTGGAAAGGAAATCAGTGCCAAAAGTAGTTGACAAACCCGTTGAACTGGAGATTCAAGCACCCAGGCGGCCGGTAGTTCCTCCGCCGCAACCACCCGTTACGAAACTACCTGTATGTATTAATTTATTTAATTTATCTTATGATTTTTAATCTGATGAAAATATTTTGTTTACAATTCTTTAAGTATAATTTTTCTGAATTTCTGTATAATTTTAACTTTTTAAACAATTTTTCAAATTTTTTGTATTGATTAAGATGCTTCAGCAATGCTAAGAAAGTCTACATATTGAAAATCTTTTTACATGTTTGAAATTCTTTATACATATATGCATTCTGAAATATTCTAATTATAAGATTTTTAAGATTTGATATTTCAAAATTTTATATTTTAAAATTTTTGAGAAAAAGAAAACTTACAAAATCTAAAATCACTTAAGGTTTAAAATTAATAGCTTTTTTTAGAAATTTTTATAAATTTTAAATATAAAACGTTTTCAAAAAAATGAAATTTTTTTATTTATTATTATTGTATATACTGTGTTATTCAATCTAGGACTGTCCACATAAAGTCGGATAATCAAAGTTTTATTGTATTTAATAACTATAAATCATTCTTTTACCAATTGTATTTGGAAACGTGATACCAAATTTGTCTGGATACGAGCAGATGCGAAAGCAATCACACGACGTTATTTTGGAGACTACAACGGAAATGGGATTGTCGAGAAAATCTGCTTTGAATGACCGCTATTTTGAGAAGGAAAAGCAGCGTAGCCGAAGTTTGGATAACTTGCTTCAGTCGGAAGTCATGCCTTCACCGGTAAAACTTGCCAATCTTGGGCTTTCGTCATCTAAATTGAACGAACGATATCACAGTTTGGAAAGAATCGGTGAGACTCCGGCAGTTAGTAATGCTGAGTACATGACGCGTACTGAGATTACACAAGAGAGGAAATACAGCAGGGTCACAAGGACGACGGAGCCCAACATCGAGGAGGAGGATCTCACGATTGACTTTGAATACCCGGATATTCAGTCCGTTAGTCAAACCGGAAGATCGGAGGATGATAAGAGCTACATAAGGTCGCAGACTAGGTTCATCAAGTCACAATATCCTGGTAAGTAGTCGAGTAAAAGTTATTCGAGAGAATACCGTTAACCTACATTCCGATAGCATAGACTTCTTAAATTTTAAAATTGTGTTATTGAATAGCCATTGTTGATAGAAAAATTATATTAAATTAATTAACTAGTTAGCGATGAGCAGTTGGATCTTTTTCAGTCAAATTTATCGTCAACTTATTTTCTTATTGTTTTTTGAAGAATTTTTTTAAATTTTACTACACATGTCCATGTTATGTTATGAGATCAATGATCTCGAATTTGTCTTTTATTCTCGTTATTTAATTCGCTGTTGCGTAAGATGTATTTTACACTTCGAGAATTTCTATCGCGGAGAAAGTTGGCAATTACACAACCCAATTTTTCCCGATCGATCGCGTATCAATTATTCTCCTCGCGTTTTCAGGCAAACGCGCGCTGCCAGGAAGTCAGTCTAGTCGCGCTTACATTGAAAAGAGTGAATATGGTGTAAAATCGTCCGCCATGTCCGACACCAGTGAGGCACCTTCTTTAGCGTCGCATGTGAGACGCGTTAGAGTACCCAGCCAAGCTTCCGACGTGGATCAATTCTTGGATGAGCTTTTTATGCCCGTATTGGATGGCAATCTTGACGAATTATCGGATGCCCGTAGTTTAGCCGCTTCGATAAAAGGTTCATACGATACCAGGCCATCCGGCGACCAAACAGTTTCCGAGAATCTGCAAACAATCGACAGTCAGATTATCAGAATAGCCACAGTCGATGACTTTGTCGAAAAAATGATGATGAGAAATAAAGATGTGAATATTGATGCCGGTGAATTGTCGAAGAAGATCAAGGGAGGTGGCAATATGGACATCCCTAATCAAAACGCAGCTTTTAATTTCACTCCCATGGCACAGAGCATGATGTCACCACCTATGATGATGCCCATGTTTAGCGCTACTCAACAGGTTCCGTCCGCACAGAATACCAGTATGAACATGGGTGCAAGTTTCATGCCCATTCCGATCTACAGTATGCAAGGACTCAGTTTACCGCAATATCCCAATTCACCGCCCGGCCAAGGCAACGATATGATGGCGTACCAACAGAATCTACAGCGAGCTTTTTTGCAGAGTGCAATGGCGCAAAATATTCAGATACAGCAGCAGCTGCTAGCACAGAATCAAGCTCTGCAGCAGCTGTTGGTTCAAAGCCCGCAAAACTCAGGACAGCAACCGGTAAGAAATTAGTAAAGAGAAAGAAAGAAATAGAGAAGAAAAAAGATAATAAATTTGTACATAAAGTTTAATATTCGAGGTTTATGTGATTAAACAAAATGATTAACGGATTGATCTTTTTTTATCGTGATTTCAATTTAATTAGACCACAATTATTAAACATAATCTGTTTGGAAGACAGTTCAGATTTTTCTTTTTTTAGACATTTAGTTGTTCAAATATTTTTTTAATGCTTTTTTAAGCGATACCATTTGGGCGTATAATAAACTCCTAAAAATTGAGTCACGATAAATAGATCTGAAGTAAACGTTGCATGTCGAGCACGATTGCGAGAGGTTTACTGCAATCAAAACGGCTCATAATCACATTTCACGGTCACTTGACTATCATTAACTCGATGATCTGTCATCGATAACCGAAACCAGCAATATTGCGCGCTTAATGAAAGCTAACTCTTAACGAAATTATCGTCGTTCTGGGCGATCCTGTGGGTTTCTGAGCCGCGCCGCGGCATGGGGTGTGTGTTTCCAGAGCACGGTGTTACCCGCTGGCCCCTCAAGCATGAATCATGTTCCCTCAGCCCCCCCAATCGGTGCCCATATGGGGCCCAATGATTCTATCGGACGCTACTCCAAGGTATCTACTGATTTTAACTAACCTACGCTGTACTTATGGCTTTCCTAGGGCTACGGAAATATCGTGTACATATCGTCTAGCAGAAACTGAGGAAGATATTTGGAATTAAGGCCAACCTGATCGAACAATGTCTTATTCATCAAATCATCGTGACTTTTTTCGGAATACATATTTTTTAATCTTGAGTCAATCCTCCTGCAAATTTTATCGCTGTAAATAGTTTTCTAAATTGAATCAAGACTCATTCTAATCTTTCTTGAATTAGGTTTCATTTAGAGAACCCGACGACGGTGAATTATGGTCAACCGAAAAACGGGGGAGCTCTGTACTAACTTCCACTCCAATCAGTCAACGGCAAGAAACGATGACAATAAAAGCTCAAATTCATCGATCCCATAGTCCACCAAGGAAGAATGCCGAAGTCAACAGAAAGACAAGCACTGATTATGGGCGAAAAATCAGCGTGGATCGTAAAGTAGTAGATAGAAAGACGTCATCAGCACAGGTGGACATGAAGAGAACCAATTTAAATAAGAATAACATACAGAGTAACTTTACTAATGTGCTCAGCGAATTGAAAAACAGAAAGAGCAGCGTGGACAGCAATCCTTCAAGTTTGAGCAATAATAAAGGTGTTCCTCCACCCCCGCCGATGCCTCCGCCTTTGGAGTCTCATGATCCTTCCGAATCTAGACCGTTCCTAGATCCGTACGGTAGGGCGAAGACGGTACGCATCGGGAAATGGAGGTAAAATCCACAATTCAATAAACTGATAGTGAATTTAATCCAGACTATTATTTATTTTCATAATATGTGGATAATTAAAGAATAAAATTAATATAATATATTTTTATTATTAGCTTAAATTACAGATAAAAATTCGAATATTTCGACTCACTTTTTAGCCATTCTTAACGGAAATTGCGTTAGTTAAATTGTTCAATAAGTATGCTCACATAAATTCCAATGGTGAGAATCATAGTTGTCAAAAAAATCATAATTCATGTCACATAAATTGCGTGTTATTCACAGCAATTACAAAACCGAGTAATGATTTAAAATAGTAATTTTATAAATAAATAACACACACACACATTCAAACAGTTAAGAAAATTGACAGTCAAACAGATAAAAATAAATGTAAAATGATCACTTTTCTTAAAAAGTTCGAATGTATAGATAGAATGTTACTCGCTGAATAATACTAATAATATCTTATTTTTATGTTGCCTAGGTGGCCACCGCCTAGCGACTCGAACGAGAATCAAGGGCAAGATAGTTTCATAGAATTTAAGATGCGTCAGCAACATCAGCAACGTAAATTAACGCCGCAGTATCAGGAGTACGACCAAGGTGAAGGCGAAGCTACAACGGAAGGTGGCGTTGAGTGGGAAGAATTCGAAATTGAGAATATCGTCAACGAAGATCGATCCACGATTGCGCAAACGACCGCGGCGAAACACGAGAACGGATATAAAGAAGAGGGAGAAAAGAAGAAAAAGAAATCGAAGTAATTAATATACTTCTCTCTTTCTATTGATATTGAAATTAAGAAAACGACGATACAAATTGTTGGTTCTTTTCCTAGGTCGGCGTTGGAAGTGGGTGCGCAAAGACCATCGCCGGGAAGTATAGGAAAGTTGAAGCTCAGCTCAGAAATGAGACAGAGATTGGAGAAGGTAACGGCGAATCATAGCGTAAGATCCACGAAGACAGCTGAGAAACCCGCTCTCCCGCGAGAAGACGGAAAGGTTAAACGATTGGAAGATAATAGGAAGCTTCTGTTAGAACAGCAACTAGGTAATTAAATAATTCTTTGTGTATTATCCTAGATTACTCAAAGTCCAAAAATGAGATATAAAACGTTTTAAAGATGTTTAAAAGGTGTCTTGAATTTAATATGTTATTAGTTGTTAATTTTGGACATGCTGCCTGGGATAAAGTCACAAATATCAAAGTTAAGGATAGAAGTATATTTATTGTTCAAAAAATTGGAATTTTAAGGTGGTAGGTGGGACGATTATGCCTCTACTGTTGATGACACCCAAAGCGTTACTTCTAAGGGTACAACCGACATGATGACACAAGCTCAAGTGGTAAGAACACAGATTGAAAGAATGGAACGACCTGTACCGCCCCCGCCTCCCGTCACACCACCGCAGCCACCGAGTCCAAGAGGCGGTAGTGTATACAGTAACAGGTAACAACATCACGCAAATTAATCCCTTTAGACTCTGCTTACATTATAATGTACATTAAATTTGAAACATTTTCCATTAAAATTATTTAATTTTATCGGCATCATTGAAAATCAGATGTATATAATAATGAATATGTTGTGAAAGAAATAATTCAAATTTTGAAAAAAGTTAATTGTTTAGTATGAATTAATTCAACTAAAAAATTCAACTAATTAATTCAATTTTTTCAATTCTATACAAGAGCATTTTAATAAGTAATTGCTTATTAAAATGCTCTTGTATAGAATTGAAAAAATTGTTTTTAGTTTTGAATTAGTTTTCTTTATTTTAATAATTCTATTAAAATTAGGTCTAATAAAAGGAATTGAATATTATCGAGAATAATTTTATGTATATTTATTTATTCATTTATTTGAGCAAAAGCAACTATAGGTTAATAAAAGTTATGTATAAATTGTAGAAAAACTACATTGAGTAAACATACGACACAAAAATCACCTCACAAAAATCATCTTCAAAAGTTGAAAAGCTATAAAAAAAATATATACTGTATGAAAAGATTTTGTTACATGAAATATAATGAATGTTGTTAAATAACAAAATCAGCAAACAATTTATTTGCTTTTAGTCAATCCGGCGTACCTCAGCCGCGATCTCCACCAGCACCGATCGAACCGAAAACACGCGACTCCTTCCGCACGTCGCCGGACTCCGAGACCTACGATCATTTCTCAAAGAACCAAATGTTTAGTCAAAGTCGTGATATCTTCGCCTCGCAGCAACATTTGCGCGATGGTCACGATTATCGAAACGACTTCGACAAGATTCGTGTTCAGGATGTCAAGTCGAAAGACTTTTATAGCAAGGACAGCACCGATCTGGCAAGTTCGATGCGCGATCGCAACTCCGACTTCGACTCGCGCCGCGACCTCAACTCTGAGCTCTTCGACTCCAAATACGCGTTTGACGGATCGATCGGAAAACGCGATCCCTTTGGCATGACCCGGGACGTATCTCCTAAATCTCGGGACAGCTTCGGGATGCCATCGCCGCGTGACTTCGGCGTGATTCCAAATACGAGGGAGTCCTTTACTGTCACGCGACAGAGCTTTAACAAGTTGGATCGGGATGCGGATAGGCGATCAAGCATAGCTTCGACCCATCGCACTGATAAGATGGAGAGAATCGAGATCGAAGAATGGCCGGAGTTTCTCAAACCGGTATTACCGCCGGCGGACAAACCGGAGATCGAAAAGGTCCAGGAGGTGATGAACACCAAGCTCTACCCGCAGACTTCCAACGCGCATTTTACATATAATAGAGTCACGTGGACTCTGAGGGTCAAGAAAGAGGTCTTCGCGCCTAACGAAACGCTGAATAGTCCTCTGGCACTGCACTTAGTATTCTGCCAAGTGGTATACGACGTGCTGGCGACCTCCAGCATAAGAATCACCAAGGAGGACCGGCAGAACATGCTGAAGATGCTGGATAACTATGGCATTACGCTAGATAATCTTCAGAGCACGCAACACAAGATCACGATCAAGAAGAATATCGTGGACATGGCGAAGCAATGGCCATTATATTTCGCCCGGATATTTCCTGTATCAGTAAGTTTATATTTGTTTGTCCATGATGCTTAAGCCACTAGCTGATAAAATTTTACAGTTCTTATGTTAAATTGATCTGATAGGATATTTCTTATAATATTTTTGTAATTTATAATTGTATTGATTTCATCTGTCTTTTTTTTCAAATTTATGAGTACGGCAGGATTTTTTAGTGTATAACATCTATTTCAAAATTCCTTTTTTGATATCTTCTACTGAGATATAAATATATGATTTATAAGAAATAGCTGAATTTAACATAATTTTCTAGTCATTGTAAAAGACTTCAAACAAAAATTAATCATTCTAATTAAATGAAATACTTTATACACACATGAGTCACTAGCAAAATGTATAAGTTTTTAAAAAAAGGTATGTCGGTTATAACAAAATTAAAACTTATTTTGATCAATATTTTTCTCAGAATTTTTCATATAATTATTTAGAATTTTTAAATATTTCCAAAATTTCCAAATATATATATATAATTTTATAAATTTATATACAAAATTTCTTAGATTTTCTATAAAAATTGAATACTATTGAGAGTGAGAGAGAGAGAGAGAGAGAGGGAGAGGGAGAGGGGGGGAGAGAGAGAGAGAGAGAGAGAGACCTACATCTTTTCTACAGATTTTTTTGTATACCTATATGTGAATTTTAAAATATTTTCTCGTTCCATAATTTTTGATGAAATCTTGTAAAATCTGAAAAAAATTATGACACATTTTTTTTTTTAAATCATATAATGTGAACTATTAGAAATTTTGAAATATTTTAGAGTTTACATATAAGTATATGAAATATTTTAAAATGTAAACTCTCAGTATTTTTAAAAAGTCAATTTTAAAAAGTTCAATTCGTATTGAAATTAAAAAAAATTTATTTAAGAAACCAGAGAATAGGGATACATTCTAATCTCATTTCTTTTGTTCAGAAATAGCAAAGAGAGGTATAAGAATCAACTAAAATTACTTACGTAACGAAATTATCGTCGACCTTTGTAATTCAAAACCGTTTTTTCTCTGTTGATACAAACGCCAGTTAAAAAACAGAAATGAATAACGAAAGACTTCTTTATTACTTCACGACCTAATAATCTTAAACCTTGCTGAACGAATTAAAATTAAATTAATTTAAATGTAAACTGTTAATTTAAATCCAGATCGGCCCTCAACACCCGGAGACGCAACATGTGGCAGTGTCTCATCACGGACTTCGATTGATCAAGCGCACACTAAATGGCGATTTGATCATTTTGGAAACCCTACCGCTAGAGGATATTGTCTCCGTGAATTCTTCCAGGTCGGGTGTGTGCGTGCTACAAATCGCGTCGGGTGTCAGACTACCCCTACACACAAATCGCGCCCCGCAGTTGGCAGAGATGATCGGCAAATACATCAGGCTGGTAAGTGTGATCTTGTTTCTTCTGTAGATACGGTCGAACATCGCACTCTCGTCTACGACCAATTAGCGATGGTCGACCGCAGAAACGATAACGGCACACATGATATGCCTCGCAACGTGCCTGTAACGAGGCAACCGCGGGCAACGCCTAGTGTAAATTGCGTTTCCAGTGAGCGGTCATATATGCTGGCCAATGCCTTCTCCTCCGTCTCTCTTTATTCTTCTTCACTTTATCTTTCTCCTTTTCCGCAATCGGAAAACGTCAGCATCAACGATCCATCACCGATGTCATGCTCAATGCTTCTATTCTTTTACACTTCTTTGGCATCACAATGTGGAATTCGCTCCAAATTACCATCGGGAAACCTAAGACACTTAACACATACTTAAACGAATTCTTTAGTCTTTTATGACAGTGAAACAAGTATCTGCTGCTCACAATGTCGTTTTCACTAAGAGAAAAGTGACATAGTATGTAGTAGTAACTATATAAGCAACAATTAAACAAGTTTTATATATAAAATTAGTATACACAGTTAAAGAAAGTATTTTATAGTTATTGTAACTATAAAATAATTTATTCACCTACGTGAAAAAAAAAACGATTTTGCTGAAGTATTAAAAAATTTAATTAGATTTAACAAAAATAATTTTGTTAAACCATCAAAATAATTATGTAGAAAACTTAAATACGAACAATGTTGTAAAAAATTGACATTTTGGCGAATAGCTTGAACGTCCTCATTGAAAAAAAATTGTTCATTCGCCTAAATTAATTTAGTTTGACTTTATTTCTTTCGCGTTAGGAAATGTATATATATAAGTCAAATATATAATATGTTTAATTTATATACATTTTTCATTGAAAGCAATGAAGACGAACTAAGTTAATTTAGTGAACAATTTGTCTTCTTAATGTTCTGTTTTCGTAATTTTTATAATCTGTGCAACAGTTGCAAAGCTACTTGTTCTGCTGAAGGCAATCATTCTTAGAATGCTTGTTCTAGAATGTTAATAAACGTCATTATCTAGCTATTTATATTTTTTTCATTTTCTATCGAAGTTGCACGATGTCGACATTCCGAAATGCCGAGGATTCCCTGCATCGGCTTTTTTTCGTCGGTAATTTTTCCGTTGCAACTTTCGTAAAAAAAAAAAAAAAGAAAAAGGAAGAAAGGAGATTTTAATCCTTTGAACGTCTTGATCTTTCATATTTTGACGTTGTCAAAGATGATGTATACGGACAAATTGCTCTTAAAGGTAAAAGTTTCTTCTATATGTCATTCATATATACGTACCTGTTGAATATCTATCTTCAGTGAATCATTAAGACCACGGAACAAAGTGATTTTTTATGCGCGGATAAGAGAGTGCGAGAGAAAGAGCAGGAAGGAGGGAGTCTCATCTTTATGTTTGTGCAAACGGAGAGATCGGATTTCTTATAATACGCGCTACGTATATTCATTGAATATACCTGTAAAACATGGAGCATCGTCGCCACTCGCGATTCATAGAGCGATCATTAAGCAGGACGTTCTCCCGAATACCGATGACCGAATGTTAAATTGCAAACTTTCATTATTCTTTCGTCTCGAGGAAAGAGAAAGCTGAGAAAGGGCAAATGATTGCCGAATCAAATTTTTAAAACATATTAATTTGATATCTATTAGTCATTTGTTATAATGTTGCACGTGTCGTATAATTTATTTCAGTATCATAATGCATAACCTTTCTTAAACTATGACACAAAGGCCATTTTCAACCGTAGACAAAATTTTTAATATATATTTCGGTAGCGCGCGCGTATATATAAATTTATAAATTTATTACGGAAAATTTATTATTCGAACGCGACAGATCCAAACCCCAGCTGAGGAAATACTTTTCATAATACAAACATAAACAATCATAAATTAAAAGGCTATAAAGAGTCAACGCAGTTAAAATTATTTTAATCTTACAATAAACATGTAGAATACCAGTCGAACGTTTCGGTTTGTGTTAACTGCGTTGACTCTTTATAGCCTTTTAATTTATGATTGTTTATTTGTTTTGAACAAAAAGAGTCCATAACTAGTTTATTTATATTTATTAATATTTTTCATAATAAATTAAATTATTTACATTCTAAAGGAGCAACTTGTGTAAAACTGCTAAAAAAAAAATAGTTTTATGCAGAAATTTTTCTTAAAAAGACAATGCTACAAATTTTTAAAGATTTTTTTATGTTCTATTATATTTTCAAAAATAGAAAAAAATTTTTTGTTAAAAAGTAATTGATTTTACAGGCTCCGTAAATAAATATTGACGTGTGTGCTCTCATCTGAAATAAAAATATAAAATGATTTGTTTTTAAAATTATCTTGTCGATGAACCAAGAAAATAAAAAAAGAGTTAAAAATTGAGAAAATGGTAGCACTTAAACAAAAATTAAACTTTTGACTAAAATTTCTATTTATGCAATAAAAAATGCAATAAAAAAGTTTAGATTAATTGTTTTATTAATTTTATAGATTCATCAATGAATGAATTTGATAAGCTTCATGTATTGCACTCCGGAACACGACTTGACTGATCAAATAGTTTTAGCGTAACTTATCCAAATTCATAAAAATAGTTTTGAGAAAAACGCGTTTTAAAGATTTTGATCGAAAAATAAATTATCTTAAAACTATTACACACACACACACACACACACACACACACACACACATAATAATTATCATAAGATCTATTTTTTATTCCTATACTAGAACTTCTTTCTCGCTTTCGTCAAACATATTTCTATTTCACTTTAAATTCCAAAGGTGTGCACTAATTCAGCTACAGAAAACACAGATTTATAAATGAAGTCGAGCAAAAAGTCTTATATACTTGTGTACAAAAAATGGACTAAAATTCTTTAAAATTTCGTATTTACGGTCTGTAATTTTGGAAATATATTTTTTCTAGACTCTTATCATCTCTTTTTTTTTTTATATAAAAATCTTCCCCATGTGAATACTTTAGCATTCATTTTGTAGACGGCTTAGAAATCAGATTTTCTCTCTCTCGTCACAATTTCCTTACACTAAATTCTAATTCTATCTTACTTTCACGTTGTCACATTGACAATATAATAATTTCCTTCAATTATTCTCAATTGAAATTTTCCCTCAAGCGGGATAATTAAAGAATAAATGACCTTTACTAAAGCATGCGCGCCGCGCAATTTCAAATTCCATTATGGATTATATAACGGTAAAAGAGCCGCATATATAAATGCGAATGTGTGCAATGTTTTCGCGCAACGGATATTTCTTTGTTGCATCTATAGTCAAAGATATAGATTAACGTCAAAGGATCGAAAGAATGCGGTGAGCTGTTTGTAAAAATATATGATTCAGTGTTCATAAAAACATCGCGTGGAGATCAGCCGGCATAGAAAGCTAGTTTAATTAATCTCATAGCGATCCCATTGTCCAATGCGTTTCTTGAGGAGAATCATTACATTACAAAGGAATGATTATTTCATTATATCATTCCTTTTGTTTTTCTTTTATTGTTGCTAATTTTAATTGGAGAGCAGTTTTCATGTGAAATCAAGAGTAGTCAAACTTATCTTATATAGAATACATATTTTCTGAATTGATGAATTCGGTGTCTTGGAAAAAACATAATAAATGAAATTATATTTTTATATCCAGTAGATATTATTGTAAGCATCAAGTACAATCATTTATTTATTGACATTAGAAGTACCGAGTGATTATTAGTGGCCTTTTTATTTTTTAAACTATATTTTTGTGTAAAAAAAATATAATTCTTTTACACGAAGAAATTTTTTGATCAACAATTCTTTATACTGATCAAATATTTAATTTTTACCACTTTGTTTATTTTTATAATGATTTATTCGTTTGGTCTTTTTAGTGAATAAGAATGATATTTCTTATTGTTAATCATCAAATAGTAGAACCATTTTAATCTACTGCATCTTTCTTTCCGCGGAGATGAGAGTTTCGATTAAAAAAAAAAAAATAAGAACACAGTGATACTTGAATTTCTTCCGAGTGAATCCGAGTTCAAGCAACTCGTATTTACTGGCGGCAGTAACTTGCTCTCCTCACGGACACCGGAAGTGGTTTGAATTGCTAATGCGAAACGGTGTTCATTATTTCTTTTTACTACGTTGGCCCAAATCTCTTTCAGACTCATCATTCTTCCGTCATTTTGCCCTTAAGCAAAAGTACAGGAATTTTTTAATTAAATTGATTTTTTATTTGTGCAACAAAATGTTCTCTTTTTAGAACCTATTAGGAAAGTCTCGACTGCAACTGAAGAAAAGGGTGTTTCATAACATACTTTTCTTCTGGTTTTGTGCACGCTGTTTTTTGTGCGACGTAAACATTTCTATTCCGTATCAAACATATTATTAATTTGTAGTTATATAAATTTAATTAAACTTTATCGAATATATAAAATGTATTAGTTTATATTATCGTTATCCACGATGAATTATTTTCTACCAATTAGGACAACAATTTTCCAAGATAAAATAATTTAAAATTCAAAATAAATTAGAAGGATTACGAGCCAAAACAATCTCGTTTAATTCCAAGTATAAAATTAATAAATATAAAAATTATAAAACAATGTAAACAAACGTTTTGACACTGATCGAGTCATTATCAATGTTAACTCAGATATTGGTTCGGAAAAACATAATATATAATTACGTGGTTCGAGAATATAGAAATTTATAATAAATTTTAAATTTTATATAGCGCTATGGATTTTTCAATAAAATTTTATCACACATTCTAACAAAGACATGTTTTAATACAGGCACGCGATATTTTTAAGGCTTCTATAGATATTTTCTACACGTTTCGCGAGTTGTTTCTACAGATCCATTAGAATGTCATTTTATGAACATTGCAATTCACTTTATCAAGGCTAACCTGGTACAAGCACAAGATATTTTATACTGTATAATTTTTAGTTCTGCGTTCTGTGATT